GTTAAAAACCTCTATTAGAAAATTTAATCATTTAAGCATAGCAAATTTTCATTCCACATTTCCCTGGTGTTGAAGGTCTATAAACCCAAAAGGAGCAATGTTCTCGGAAGGCAACGAGCAGTTCATCAACCGTCCTGCATGAAACTGGGACAGACCCGTCTCATAAATACTGATTCCAGAGTCAGAGAAATCTCTAGTCAGCTCTAGCTTATCATATTTCTGGTTCTTCTTGCACTTGGGTCATAAAAACTAGTTACTTTTGAAACCTTTGGTGGCTCATAATTTTGTTAAAGAGAAGATGGTCCTCTTCTTTTCTCCATAATCGCAAAGCATTCTCACTTTTAAATTTATAAACACCGTTAAGAGTGCTTCATCCAGTCACTTTGTTTTCATTTCTACATCACCTATTTCCTTTTGATCACTTTTATAAACACATCTGACTTTATCATTTGTCACCTTCAAACTGTATCAAAGAAATTTGGGTAAATGCCACAAAAGGTAAAAGACTATTGGCCCCCCATTCTTTCAGCAAAACAGGATGGTCTAAGCTTGTTGCAAAATATTAAGTGATGAAATCCTTCCTGTTGAATGACTAACTGGATGAGAATATCATGTTTTATTTTTGTCCTCAGAAATATACTATTTACTCATCGATTCTGGATTTTGAGAAAATTCATCCAGACTATTGTCTTGTGAAACTCATATCATAGTCCAAGACTTTGCTTATAAAATCCATTTTACTATTAGCAGTAGAGTCCGCATCGCTGCTGTCTCCTCTGGTTTGTCTAACTACTGTACAATATTTTTCTTTGTCAATTTTCTTCTCTTTACCGTTTTGTGCAGGAAATGAAAAATTCTATATTCTCAACTGTATGCAAATAAAGCGACAATAATAAAACTATAAAGATGGTGTCCTCTATATTTTTTTATCCCTTCTTGGAAGATGATACTATACTCTCAGCAATGTACTAAGAAAACCGAAGGGTGATACAATAATGATGATTTATTCCATTGTTGCATCATCCTTCTAGGTGGTGATTCCATCAATCTTCCATTTGTTATTATTTTAATGTTTTTAGCATAATTTGCAATAATTGATGAGTAATGCTGAAATAATTCCTAGGATGATAAAATGGAAAATATGTTGAGATAAAAGAAAAATAAGATCCCATGAAATATCTTAGATTTATAAATGGCTTGAATGGTTCCAGATGGTAAATTCAAGATACAATGAGTTTTGTTCAGTTTTTGTTAAAAAGTAAGTGTTCTCTTTGATCTTTGGAAGATTTCTTTGAAAAAAAGCAGAAGTCATGAAATATCAACCTTTACAAATAGTTATAACTGCTCAGAAAAAAAAAAACTAACATTGGGTTTGATGGACCCTGAACGTATATTGATGGTGAAGTTACATTAACAGATTTGGTCATTTTGTGATGATTTTCAAAATCTGGCTCACTGGGAAACTGCCCCACAAAAACACTCGTCTTTCACCTACTTGAAATCCAAGAGTTCTCAGACCAAAGTTGAAACCCAGTCCCAGAGAGCTCCACACCATTCCAACACCACGATGCCCATCTCTCGGTTCCCCGTGGAAACCAGGCAGCCCTTCACCCCGGACGTCTCCTCCTGGAGTTTATCTCCACACACGACGAGGAAGCAAGACTCGTGACCCAAGGAAACAGGGCACAGCAACAACAACACTCGGACCACAATCAGACACCCAGTGTTTATGGCTTGTACGTTCTTTCCAGTAAACAGATTTCTTGGGAAGGAGACAGTATTTCAATTCTCCTGGGGTTTTTTAATTTTCTTTTTTATCTTAGGTTGTTTTCAGTCAATCCAGGAATACAACCTGACTATCAATCTATGACACAGAGGAAATGTCCAATTCACAAAAGTGGTGTGTTCCAAAACTGGGGGAGTCTATTGTTTTGGAGAACTCAGAATATATTTTCCTCCAATAAACAATATTATAAATGATGGTGAGGTTTCCAGACCAGCCCTACAGAAGCCATCTTAACTCATAATGTTGCTGAGGCCCATACTTTTGCAGTCAAAATTAGTATAAAACAATTTTACTGTAGTCCTAACAAACAAGCTCAAATACTCAAGACAGAGTCTCCTATATCCTGAATTCTACTTAATGAAATTCTACTTACTGGTTTAATGGAAGAAGGTAAAGGGGGAGAGAGATGGAGACATTTTAGGGAGACACCACTGCTTTCAGGAATTTTGGAAGCTGGCAGCAGGAGTTTGTTATTTTCTTTTCCAGTTTCAATCTGATACCTTTTTTCATTTCCTACATATAGGCATGACCCAAAGGAGGGTAGATCTGGGGCTCACATGGGAAGATAGCCAAGGATGGGAGAGGAAAATCAAAAAGTTTGAGAGAGATTTCCTGAATGGAGCAATTAAAGCGTGTCATTGTGAGGAGATTGCCTAAATCAGCACTAACTGATCTGCTAAGGAAACTGAGGAGAAGGCAGGACACCCAATGTTAGTGCCCCAGGCCCTGGAGTCAGGCAGATGAGAGGAGTCCAGTCTGGCAGACAGTTCCCTCTCTGACCATAAGGTGGCGCCATCACCCCAGGCAGTCAACCCCAAGGGGGCGGGCCTGCGGTAGGAGGAGCTCTCCACGTGGAAGCCACGTTTTCCCACCCAGGCTCTGGAACTCACGGAAAGCCTGGATTAGACAGCGTGAATCAACCTACACCTCACTGCCTCAGCACCCCATAGCTGTTCCCATCCTACAAGGCCTCACCTGCTCACACCTGAACAAGGACACGTTCTGTGCCGCTGGGGCATCAAAGCCCACATCAAGATTCCAACCAGTTCCTTCCGTTCCTCTCGTCCAGATTCTCCTCTCCAACGCCAGCACTGAGCCTCTCACGTTTCCTAATGCCAAACGGGAATCTAGTCTAAGAGCTTCCTGGAGTCTCATCCTTCAAGGCCATCATGATGAGAGAACAGGGTTTTCTACGGTGAGCACGGATTTGTCACAAAGGCCTTGACAACAGGGCCCCAGATGCCCTTGCCAGCTTTATCTTCCAGTTTGACACCAAACTGAGCAACCCTCATTCCACATACAAGCCCCCCCCCATACTCCCTCCATGCATTTACGCTGCTGGTCCTCTCTCTTCCTTACCCCTCCTTGTCAGTATCCTCTGGCCTTTCAAAGTCTAGCCTAAATTTCCTCTTCCCCAAGAGCATCTCACTAGGCGTTTAACTGAATTTAACTGCTGGATCGGTGTTAGAGAGGAAAATGTGGGTCCCATGCATCAACCACAGAAGTCCTGGGATGTCACAAGGCAGGCCTGCCTCATCCTCTCTAAGGCTGGTTCTAAACTGAGCAGAAGGGCCCATGCAGGCAGACTCCAGTGCTGAACCTCAGAGCAAAGCCAGCTGGTCTGCCGGGGCCCCTCCCAAGTCTCGATTCCCATTTAGGGCAGACTGGGCTCTAGAGAGACACCAAAGCCGCAAGCTCAGTGTGTGGCACAGTGTCTGTTCTCAATTCAAGTTCACTTTGTAATAGTAATGTTACTATTATTGCTGTCCCCTCTCCACCCCCACTCTCATCAGCCACAATCTGCCAAACCAGGCCTGAGCGACAGAGCTGCTAAAAGAATGAGGAGGGGACATAGCAACAAAGTTTCCAGTGGGACTTCCTCCTCATTCCCCTGCCCACCCCCAGGCCTGTGACCTAGCCTGGTAAGCCCAGCAAACTGCCTACTGATTCTGCAGAATTTTCTCTGCCCTGATGGACTCACTGCGATGGGTATTCTCTGGCTATTAGGCCCTCGCCAAGTGGCCTGGAGATAAAACCCTTAAGAGCTAGTAGCTGTATTTGCAACATCTCAAAATCTAGCTACCATTTGTCTTTTACTTCTAAAGGGGCTGTTAGCTCAGGTGGGAGACACAAATGGCCTCAGGGAGGCTGGAGCAAATAGCCTCAAGATGAATTTTAAATTGCGCGGGTCCTCTGAGGGCAGCCCCAGGGCCTCATGGTGGCAAAAGTGAGTACCCGGCCAAAGGCCAGGAGAGAAGGCACAAGCCAGGAGACTTCCACCTGCATGGCCACTGCTCCAGGTGCCCTCAGCCCCTTCCATCAAGTAGACTCTGGGTGTCTGCATCCAGCAAAAGTGGGCTGGCTCCTGCCCCCAGCACCTCTCCTACTTTGCTCAAAGAACCTAGTGGCCAGATGCCTTTTTTAATGCCAGTATTGCTCATATTCTCACCTACGGAACGGGCTCCCTGGAAAGAAAGCCCACCCAAGAAATTCAGGGGCTGAGAGACCAGAATGCTGCTGTTTGTTATGTTTTGTCTTTCAAGGATCTACCGGAGAGGCTTTTTCATGAGCTAGTTAATTATGCAAACAAAAGCTGGGTGGGCAATTTCCAACCACCCCATTTTAATATACTTGTACCCCACCTCCTTCCACAAAAGATCTGAGGCTGCAAGAAGCAATTGCTATTGGAATCATGGACTTGAGCGGTCAATTTCTCGCCACCACTGTAGACTCAGACCTTAAAAGTGACCATTCATTAGGGCTCTTTAGTCTGGTAGGCATGGTGGACAGTGACTCCTGCCGCTGAGACCCTGGGGAAAGCCCACTCCAAAGGAGCCTTCCCCACCCCCACCTCTCCTTCCTCTCGACTCAGAGCCGCTGGACGCGCGGGACAGCTGAATCCAACCGCTGCTAGCCTGGTCCCCGCCTCTACCTTCCCTATGCTCATGTGCAGCCGAGACCCCTGGGAGGGAGGCCCTGGAAGCCTAACGGCAGGGGGAGGGTGACCCGGCCCGCACGTCTCCGCACCCCCTCCCCCAATCGCGTCACATGGCGGCCCCAACGAGGCGCGCCGTGTGTCCCACCATGGAGACCCAGGGCCGCGTCGCTGTGGGCAGCGGGCGAGGAAACCTCCCAGGCGCATTACCGCAGAGGGCGCGGATGGGAGCGGGGCGGGGTAGGGGGTTGGGAGTAGGTGCCCGGGCTCACCTGTTCTCCAGCCGGAGGGTGGGGACGGCGGGGGAGGGGCGCGCCTACTCGGGGTACGTGCGGCGGGGCGCACAACCGCAGCGCTGCGTCCCCGCCCTCCCCCAGCCCTGCTAGACCCCAGAGCTGCGCCGTCGGACTGACGGTGCCCGGAGCAGTTCCTGTCCTGGGCCCCGGCGCTGGGGAGACGTGAGCGTGCACACGTACACACACAGCTGGGGAAGAGGCGCCCCGAGCGACGCCCAACTTTCTCCCCGCTTCCGCGAGCCAGCGGAGAAGGCAGCTGGGGGCAATCCAGCCGCTGTGCTTAGGAAGGGAGCTCCAAGGAGAAAGGAGAAGAGATGGGGAGAATCTCTTTGGGTTTGGGGGGATTTTTTTTTAACCATTTCCATCCACTGACTGAAGAGTCGAGGGAACCCGAAGCGGGGCGGCGAGGAGCGCTTTGGGAACATGGAAGAGTGTGTTTGGGGGAGCGTAGAGTTGCTTTCAAGCTCCCAGGCGAGCGACGCTCCACCGCAGGTTGAGTCAGGGCTGCCTGAGCCTTTCTGCCACCCGCCTGGAAATGATGCGAGTCCAGCCTGCCACCTGGATCCCTGCAGCCCGGCCCGAAATCCGTCTGGATTGGGAGAGAGGCAAGAAACTGGTACCCTAGGTGTTGCGAGGCCCACCAAAGAGAGGCAAAAATAAAGGGGGAACATGGGGCAGTTGCTCCGGCCAAGTCCTCTCTAGTGCTTTTGCTCCTGCCTGACATAGTTTGAGGGATTTTTTTAATGCAAAGTGTGACAACGCCAGGAATTCCCAGATGTGCTCAGTTTGCCCCCAGCATCACGGTGCCCAGAAAACTCCTCCAATCTGTCAAGGCCTCGGGGACGGGAGTCTCACTGAATTCCAAAAGGCGGAAAGAGGAAACTTCCCCAGCCTGATGCGGGAGTGATGCGAGCCAGGGGCTCCGGGGGCGCAGTCCCAGAGCAGCAGACCGTCCCCTCTCGCCCTCCTTTGACTGCTACCGGAGCTGCGATTCGCTTTCACTTCAGTCAGTTCGGCCATTGCCCTGCAGCCCCCGCACACGCATCTCCGGCCACACTCTCACACGCACACAAGCGCGTGGCCACCGCCAGGTCGGCAACTTTGTCCGGCGCTCCCAGCGGGGCTCGGCTTCCTCCCGTAGTAGTTGGGCGCAAGCCCCGCCTCCCGGCCGTGTTGTCAAACGGGCCGGGGTCTCGGATTGGTCCAGCCGCCGGGACAACACCTGCTCGACTCCTTCATTCAAGTGACACCAGAGCTTCCAGGGATATTTGAGGCACCATCCCTGCCATTGCCGGGCACTCGCGGCGCTGCTAACGGCCTGGTCACATGCTCTCCGGAGAGCTACGGGAGGGCGCTGGGTAACCTCTGTACGAGCGGCGGCTGCGAGGAGGAGGGAAAAGGCGAGCCAGGAGGAAGAGCGGGAGGAGGGGACGCAGCGAAGGAGGAGGAAGAGGGGGAGGGGAGCACAAAGGTTCCAGGTCTCCGGGCGGGAGGTTTACACCAAGAACCATGTGTTCTGAGCGGCTGGGCCAGCTCGTGACCCTGGCTTTGGTGTTGGCCACCTTCGACCCGGCGCGAGGGACCGACACCACCAACCCGCCGGAGGGTCTCCAAGACAGGGTCTCCCAGCAGAAAGGCCGCCTGTCCCTGCAGAACACAGGTAAGTACGTGAGACCCCGCGGCGGGGGGGGGACTGCTGGGAGATGACACTGGGCACCCATGCAGCGCGCCCCGGCCGTTTCACCCGGAACTGGGCTCCCACCTCGGGCCGTGCAAACTCTTGGGGTGGAACGGGATGTGCAAAGGAGAGCGCGAGGCGAAGCGAGGTCCGCGCCTGGCTCTGTGCGCCCGGAATCTGCACGTGCTGGCAGGGTGATGAGATAGCTCGGGCAGGACTTGTTGCTGTCCTCCCCGGGGTCGAGGGTAAATGAGGCAGCGCCTAACGCGGTCAGTGCTGGCCTTGGACTTCCAGGTCCGGTACAAAGCTTCCTGCTCCATCCTGGCCTGCCCGGGGGAGGCGCGGAGGGTCCCCGCCTCCGGCGCCCGGCTGCGCGCTGCACCAGGAGAACTCTTGCCAGCCAGCGGACCGCGGCAGGACCGCTTCTCCCCCTACTCAAAAGATGCTCAACATCGGAGAACTTTGTAGGCGAGACAGATTGCATGGGGAACTTTCCCCTAGGCTGCATTGCTTTTGGAAAGGGGTGGGGGGAGGGTGGCGTAAAGCGTACCTCTGCGGCGCTGCCGCCGTCCCCAGCTCCAGGGCAGGTCAGCAAGCGATGAAATGGTGACACGGCCCCAACTGTGCGCCGCCACTGCTCAACCGGCTCTCTCCACTCACCAGCAAGCTGCCGAGCAGAGCCAGGCATGCAGGGCACGGGACTGGCCCTTTTCCCAGGTCCGGGGAGAGAAAGAAAATCTGCCTACAGCTCCTTGGCTCTCGGAGCCCCCCCCCTCCCCATGCCCCCTTATTTAGGGGACCTGAGAAGCCGGAGACTGCGTGCGTACGCTCACGGCACGAGCAGGAATGCACGCGTGCCCATTCGGGACTCCTTAAGCCAATGATTCACAGCCCTGCGCGCTCCTGCCCTGCGCGCCGGGGCCGCGCGTGGGATCCACCCGGAGCCTCCCACCTCCGTATGCGGCCCGCTCCTCGGAGGACCCGCGCCCACCCTTCCCCCTTTCCAGCTCTTTCCCTGAGACTCGAACGTAATTCTCGGTAGTTAGTGACCCTCAACAAATACACACCCCCTCGTTCTCTCGGCAGATTTAAACGGCGTGCAGATTATCTACTCTGACCCTGCCTTTCTTCCAAAAGATACTTTTCCGATGTAATTTTGTGGTTGGTTTAAGTCAGGGAAGGGACCGAGGCTTTGCACACGGCAGCCTGGCAGTTAACTCCCCCAGCCTGTCCTTTCCGAGAGACGAATTAGGGCCACATTCTGCGAAGCAGGGCACCTAACTCCGGGGCGCGGGAATGCTAGAGGAGTAAGTGACAACTCACACCGGATCTCTATTTAAAAGGAGCCTCTAACTGCGACGGTTTCTGCAGGCTAGCCCCCATCGGACTGATTCCCGAGCCGGCTCCACACACCACAGCTTCCGGAGCCTGGTATTTTTAATGCGCACGATTTGGAGGCGCTGCCTTAATAGGAATTTTGTTTTGATTTTTAGGTGTTGAATCACGAAGCTGAATTGAAACTGCGTTTTGAACGCTCTCATTTGGGGGTCAGGAAGGAAATGGGGGTCAGGATTTAACAGCAGCAGCTTCAAGTTCCAAGTAGTGGAGGGTGTTTCATTGATGGGGTACAGCAGGGAGGGGGCAAGCTATTATAATAATTTCCAATCTTATTTTTGTCTGTGGGGTTAGAAAGCTGAATTACCTTCTGTTCTCAAGTTCAGGATTCCCACAAATACTTTAATAAGATGGGAAGGATAAAAAATGGGGTGCTCAGCCCTAACTTCTGCTTATGTTTTTTTGTGTGTTTTTTTCCGGTAATGTAGGCTTGGCTAATTTTTTTTTTACAAATACTGCCATTTTTCATAAGTAGATTAAATGGTGAATTTCTTCCCCCCTGGCTTTTTAGGTCCTGAAATAATCATTCTAACTTTTTTTTGCCCCTAGATTTTCTTGTAGTCATTACTTTTATTTCAGCCAACCTCTCCTCATTCGCCAGCATGGCTGAGAATTTTGGATATATTTGTATGTAATTCTCATTTTAGCGGAAATCCAGCACTGTTTGGTCAACGCTGGCGATGTGGGGTGTGGCGTGTTTGAATGTTTTGAGAACAACTCTTGTGAGATTCGAGGCTTACATGGGATTTGCATGACGTTTCTGCACAACGCTGGAAAATTTGATGCTCAGGTAAAAACCCTATAGAGCACAAAGATTGTTTGGGGTTAGTGTAACATGATCGAAATGTTCTTTGGAAAGACTTGTTAACAGATTTCCTTAGCCGATCTTTGTAGAGTGTTTTAGCGCTTGCAAGAGATATTCTAGGTGTGCATCAGGAAGTCAGGGTCTCCCCACTTCACCCCTGGAGTTCTGCTCTCTGGAGCTGTCGTGAAGGCTAAATCGTTCTCCACTCTTGCGTCTACACAGGCAAAGTGGATTGGAGACCAAGTCCAACAATTATCTGAGGATTCTTAGCCAAGAAGACAAAAGTCATGATAAACATCTTGTAAGGGGGCATTTTATGGGGTCACCCAGAACCGACTCTGCAAGGCCCATCACACTTAGGAAACGTAGGTTGAGGGGGGAAGGGCAGAGACTCCAATTATACATTCAAAAGCTATTTTCACCTAATAGGCAAGACTAATGAGACACAAAATTCGGAGAAGTTCACCTTCTCCTGGTGGATGTGGGGGCAGGAAACATGGATAGTTCAGGGCCTGCAGAAGAGCACTTTTCTTCCTCCTAAGCAGCAGACCCTCCTCTCCTGACCTGAAAAGTCAAAACCCTGAATGACTCTCACAATCCCTCCCCCTTTTGCTCTATGTAATAATAAATACAGTCAGGGCCTAACCCACTTCAGTTGTGCCAGGGTCCCAAGGGTAGAGCCCAGTTGCTACGTGGGGCAGGAAAAGAACCCAATAAGCAACCTTATGCCTCCAGTGCCCTCCATCCAAATACATTCCAGATGGCCTGTGGCATGAGTCACACCTTCTTCCCATGTCCTCCCCAGCCTATAGATGCGGTGTGAAGCCCCCTGTTATTCTCTCATAAACTTGCTCTCCCATTTCATTGGAGAGTGACAACATTTGGACGAGGGCAACAGTTTAGGTGGGATTCATTAATGTCACCAGTCACCATCTACTGACATCCTGTAAAGAGCCTGACAAAGCAATGGGGCTGGCAGCCTATACTGCAGAGGATGTAGGGTGTCACGAGGGGAACAGAAACCGGGCAAGAAAAGAGGTAGAGCATTTGAACTCCTTCAGGCTCCCTAATAAAACATCCCTTCTGGATTCACTGGAAGTAGAAAATCCGGAGGAAAGATGTGTATTTCCGGGCAATCTCACAGGATGTCAGGGAGGAATACCAAGAACAGACTGACACAGCCCTCGCATAAATTAATCTTCCCTTTTTTTTCCCTCAACCAACAGGAGTATGTTCTCAAGTTAGAAGCATCCCTTTCAAGTCGGTTCTCAGTGCATAACTACTTCATAAACTGGCACACCCGAACCCCCCCATCCTATTTGGCTCCCACTGGAGAGTTCGGGGGCTGGGGGGAGGCAGGGTTTTGTGACCAGACACTATCTGTAGACATTTCAATTGCTTCCAAAGGAGAAAACCTAAATAAATGCGCTAGCTGGCTTCCTACTCCCAACCTAAACCCGTTTACTTGCTCAGCTCCATGCCTTCCGGGCCTGTCTAAAAACAGAGGGGTGACCTCTCCAAGATAGCTTGCTTCTATAGTAATGGGAGTGTGGGAGGTCCCCGGGCAGGTATCCCACAGTGTCCCTGTCCCCAGAGGTTGGTCAGGGAGCTAAGGGCCACCGAGCTTGCCTCCACACCCCCAACAGCTGCCTCCTTTCGAGGATAAGAACAATCTAAAGGGGTTGCCAGGAAAGAGAACTGTGGGCCAGATGTATGCCTGGCTGCCTGAACCACTCAGAAGCAGGGCGTGTGGGGGAGGGGCTGGCGGCCCGGCAGCTCAGACTCCAGATGCTGCCAGGCAGTGTGCCAGGCGGCCCTTTTAGAAGCAGTAATCCTAACAGTGTAAAGGAGTCGAATCGTTTTCACAAAGGAAAAGAATGCTCCTACTTACAGGACGGAGGAGACCAGAGAATGGGCTGGGGGCCGTAGGAGGCACAAGGGCAGAGAAGGGCAGGCACAGTTAACAGTGAGTCCTCACCTCGCTCGTGGACTCCAAGGAAAAAGGAGCGCTGTAAGATTTGGACAAGCAGGCACTTTCTACCTGGGAAAAACTCTGACTGGGAACCACCAAGGAGTTCTGGACTTATGTCTGGCCAAAATCCCCTCGTGTTCCAGAAAAGTCACCACCAAACAGCCTTGAGGACAGATGGCCACAGAAGCCCCCGCAAGAGGGAAACGAGTAGAGCAGCTGGGAGGAAGGGGACAGATGCGTTAGTCTCCCCAAGTGACATCCTCTGGCCCAACGCCAGAGGTACCATGTCACTCTGGATGCGCCTCCTGAGGTAGCCTCAGCTTGTCACTAGCAAGGACATCAGCCTGAGGCGGGGCCTTGGGGTTCAGTTGTCAGAAAGCTCCTGTGAAAGCCCTAGAAGGGAAAATGTCTAAGCGTGTCACACGGACTCTCTCCTCTGCTTCTCTCTCCCTTCTCTGTCCTCAGGGCAAGTCATTCATCAAAGACGCCTTGAAGTGTAAGGCCCACGCTCTGCGACACAGATTCGGCTGCATAAGCCGGAAGTGCCCGGCCATTAAGGAAATGGTGTTCCAGCTGCAGCGGGAATGCTACCTCAAACACAATCTGTGCTCTGCCGCCCAGGAGAACACGCGCGTGATGGTGGAGATGATCCACTTCAAGGACTTACTGCAACAGGAGTAAGTGCTGGCCTGGAGGGGTTCGGGGACGGGGAGCCTTATTCGGTTTGAGGGGCTCATTTGCAGAGCCTGAATTCTCCTGTCAAATAGGAGCGTTGCCATTTACCTCAGAAAGCTGCACAAGCTCCCCTGGGAGTGCCTTTCCTGCTGACCTTCAGGAAAAACGAAAGAAATTTCCACCACCGGTTTCAAAATCATAGGCAATAGAAACAGGAAATTTTTTTACTGAGCAAGAAACATGTAGGATTCAGAAACACCCTTCATCTTCCCCTCAGCCAGGATCCCAACAGCTCTCTGAGTGTCCCCCGTAGTTCTGTAGGCACCCCAATAGGCCGCCGAGCGCGAGTAACATTGGTAGGCATTTACCAAGTGTCCGGCGTGGTGGCAAGTGCTTCCTGTGACTTTTCCACATGATCCTCACAACAGCCCTGTGGGGGTCCCGTTCTCATCTGCATTTTACAGATGAGGAAACTGAGATTCACGGAGGTAAATCTCACGGACAATGAGAGGCAAAGCCAGCATCGGAGCCAGGCAGTCCAGCTCTGGTACCTACATCCTTCAAGGCCAAACGCTGAAGCCAATAGCTTTCTTTCCTGCCCCCCAAAGCTCTCCTTTCCCTTAGAAGGTCCAATTTACCTTCTCTAATACATCAACGCCCTCCCAGAGAAAACTCAAAACAAATGTCAAAAACTTGAGTCAGCTAAACACCTTTATGCCGAAATGAGGAAATAGGAACTTACTTATTCGAACACTTGAAACTCAGTAATAAACCCAGGATATCTCATTCCTTTAAAAAACATGCCATCGATAGGATCCTAAATTTTGCCAAGTGGTGAAGCCTGTGGGTCTGCAGCTGCTCCTAACAGGAAGCCCCTAACAGGTCACTGGCCCCTGGAGGTTACCATGTCTGTCTCCTTCCTCCGAGACTTAGGGAGAAAGCAAGTTACTAGCTAAGCAACCCAGAACAAGTCATTGCCAGCTTGATGGCACCGTTGGTCTATCCACAGTGACTCATCGGGGCAAATCAGTACAACTTTATGAACTCATGCTCCTTGGTTCGTGCCACAGCCTTCCCCCAGCTATGTCACTCAACAGGCTACTCCCCACCCCACCCACACCTCTTAGATCATGGGGGACAGCAACCACCTCCTGTCACTTTCCACCTGGTCATGAGGTTCTAGGTATCTTGCAACACCCCTGGTACAGTGCTACAATCATAAGCTTCACCGTGACACTCTGCAGGCAGCTCTAGACAAGAGCAAAATAATGGTGCCTGGAGTTACACTAATGCCTCCAAAAATATTTTTTATTCTTCCAAATACCTGTAAAGAAACAAAGCATCAACAACTATAATGCTAGCGATCATTTTTTGAGCAGGCCAGGCCCTCGGCCAGGGACTTTCCCTGGATTATCTCAGCTATCTTTCCCAATAAGGCAGAGATTACTGTCCCCATCAAGCAGAGGAGGGAGGTGACGCTAAGAGGTTAAAGACCTCCTCTGAGATTTGATTCCTACTTTTCAACTTGGGAATTGGTGAGATACGTGGCTGACTCCAGCTATCAGGAAGAGACCCCAAATCTCCTTGTTCCTGGCCTGCTAAAGGCTCACTGGTCCCCAGAAGTGGCCAGGGTTTTTCCCTTTTCTCAAATACATTTCCATTACACCAGGAGGGCGCTGTGAGATTCCCTTCCTCCCAGGCGCCCTGGAAGAGGCAAACAGTGTATGGCTGAAAAAACTCATGAAATTCATTTGTCCTAAACCCACCCACATTCATCCATTAGAGACAGTGTGTTGGCCTCAAGAATGGATAATGGGGCGCTAGTTCATAAGCCTATAATATATTCCTGGAGGCAAGAAACCTGTCTTTTTAGAGAAAAGTCTTCTTTCAGAAAGCTGGAGGTTGTGATGTCCCCCTACCCCTGAATTTAAGAAGCAATAAAGCACTGTGGCTTTCTGGTGTCTCCGCCATGGAAACATGGTCCATGGGGCCATGGGACCCTTAGTTCCAAAGGGCTCCTCGCATCATTTAGAATGAACACATAGCCCCCCACCCCAGCCTGCTCTGGAAATGCAGGGGATCCACCCCAAAAGAATGCCTGGGCCTCTTTTAAGGACACTCACTGTGGCTGCACCCAGGTCCTCTGGCCTCCTGCTAAGCCAGCACCTCTGGGTAGTGGGGTCCACCTAACTCCAGCTCCTCACAAATCCTTACTCCCTCTCCTCTGAAACCATGACTGTGCAGCACACCCTTTTTTCTTCAAGCTGAATTGACTGTGTGTTTTTGTCTTTAACTATTGAACTGATTTGGGTACAAAGGAGCTTGTCAGTCCCCAGAGAGCAAGAAGACAATTTAAGGATGTGTGTGGCATTGGTCGCAGACAAGAAAATGAGAACTGGATTTGCTTTTCACTTTAGAGAGGAGGAAATCACAGTCGCCCCCAGAATCCACATCACCCCCATCCCTCAACCCTATCCCCAAACAGTCTCACGCTGAAATAAAGTGGTTCCCCTCTGCTCCCCTCACCCCTTCCGACCCTGCTTTCTTCATATCAACTGCCCCGGCCACCACACACCCTGTCACTGGGTACTGGCAGCCTCCAGGCACGTCCCCTTCCAAGTATTTTTAAAAATCCTTTAGCCTTGCTGACACCCAGTTGAGAGCTGGGCTTTGTCATTAGACACGGGCTGAGCTTGCAGCCTGAGAAGGCACCACGCCAGCTGGGAACAGGGCTTAGATTAACACACACCCCTCCCCACGGTTTGCAGCTCTCTCCTGCCGAGAGAATGCCAGGGGCAGAAGAGCGTGTGGGCGGCTCCAGCCTTCTCGGGTCCACCTTGGGCTCCGAGAGCTCGCCTGACAGGGAGGCCGCCCTGGCAGAGAGTCCAAGAGGTGGTGCGTTCACCCCAAGAGAGCCCTCCCCTTACTCGGGGGAAATAAACTTGAAGGGGAGCATCAGTTCAGTGTCCCCCAAAGACAGACAGGTTCTCAGCCCCTGCAATTCACTTATCTAGCCCCAGAGACGTGACAGGTCATGTGCCAAAATCTTGACACTACTGGAGCCGATATGTGAACTTGAGCTCCCTGAGGCCGTCGGGTGCTAGTTTTCTAAAGATGGAAGGAAGTTAGCATAGATGGAACATCTCCATTGTGTTGCCGCATATCCTCCCCTCTTAGCCCAAGAAGATGAACGTCATCACTGTCCTTGTCACAGTGAGGGGCCTGCCTTAGAGAGTTCAAGCATCCTGCCCAGCGGCCATGCACAGACCCTCTGACTCCAAAGGCATCAAAAGGCCTTAAAAGGCAGCTTGGTCTTTCAGCCAGAGCACCCTCGTCTCCCTGCCCCACGCCTTCCCAGCCTCGAAGCTTCCACAGGCCACCTTCTCCCGGCTCAGTGTCCATTTTTACATCTATGAAATGAGGGCAGTGCACTCAATTCCAACTTGAGGACCAATTCATAAAAATGGCAGTAAACCACTTCCCAAGTCTTAAAACACAATCTGCGTGCGCTTCCTGCCTAGCAACCACTGCCAATTTGCAAAGAAAAGATCAAATGGGCCATAATGCAGCCACCCAGTGGTCCCAGGCTCACAGAGGAAAAAAGTCCTGCCCCTTATAAGTGATCTCAGAGTCCAGACTGATTTCTCTGCCCAGGATGACGGCCCAGAGCCATGCTGCTCATGGTCAGATAGACCCAGAAGCTTTGCTAGCCGAGGTCTGGGTAAGAATGCCCGTTAGCCACACGAAATATTCCACACCCCACTTGGGGGACTTTAAAAGGCCAGTGAGATGTAAGAAAGGGCTAGTGAGTGGGCCGTGACAGCCCACTGCTGGGGACACCTCTTCCCAGATGGACCCCTCAGTGCAGAAAGCAGACGCACTGCTCCCGTCGCCTACGGCCAGGAGGAAGGTTTGCATGACGTGGTCGTCCCCGCAGCGCTTTTCCTAAAGAAAGACCCAGGGCAGCTGGAATGGCCTGAGCTACGGGCTCTGCCCTCTGGAACCAAGCATGTTTATTTCACACGCAGCTGGCTTTCATTCCAAACACTGGCCCCTCACCGCGGCCCTTACTTCCAGTTCTGGGGAAGCCCCGAGTGGGAGAACAGAGATGCTGAGATAGCCACACGGCTCCCTCCTCAGCATCAGGTGCCAACAAAGAGAAGCTCTCCATGGGAACTGACCTCCCAGGGAGGCGGTCTTCCTCCCACCCCAGCCTCTCCACCTGCCCCCGCCCTCCTCCAGGTGCAGAGGGAATTATATCCTGTAACTTCCCAAAACACCTTTCATCATGAGCCTAAACCAGAGGCCAACACAGACATGAGGAAAATGGTTTCTTGAGAGGCTTGCTTAGAAAAGGCTTTCCTGGGGGAGTGACAGCCCATGCAAAGCCCGCCAGCCCTCTTGACGCCACATGCGAAGGGACAGTGTGAGAACTCCCTGAGCCCTAAATCTTCAATGCCTCCCCCTTTCCTGCCAAAAAGACTCCTCAGTTTGGTATTTAAGGCCCTTCACCATTTGCCTAAGTGTCACTCCTCTGGCCCCCAAGACTCTCCTCCACTCCCTTAAAACCCTCCCACACTCACACCCAAAACACGCCCAGAGCTTTCCCTCCTCCTCTCCTCATCCACACAGCTGCCCGCCTTCTTCCTTTATCCTGAGGACCTGTCACTTGTCATTGGCCCTTTTCCTTGCGATAGGTTCTGTCCCAAGCCTCTAAATCTCTCCAGCGCCTGGCATGGAGCTTTGTACATAATAGCCACTCAGTGAATGGTGGTCAGGACCGGTACTCCATAGCTTACGGGCAAAGGCTGGAAGTAATTCCAGAATGCTCTTCCACCACACCAAACCCAAGCCAAGCATTGGGTTTCCCATCTCTCTCTTCCTGGTACGGTCACTACCCTCAGGCCCATTTGGGAGTGGTTCCATTCTCTCTCTCTCCCTCTCCTCTCAATCTCTAGACCCTATGTGGACCTGGTGAACCTGTTGCTGACCTGTGGGGAGGAGGTGAAGGAGGCCATCACCCACAGCGTGCAGGCGCAATGTGAGCAGAACTGGGGGAGCCTGTGTTCCATCTTGAGCTTCTGCACCTCGGCCATCCAGAGGCCCCCCACAGCACCTCCTGAGCGCCAGACCCAGGGGGACAGAACAAAGCTCTCCAGGACCCACCATGGGGAAACAGGTCACCACTTCTCAGAGCCCAGCAGCAGGGAGGCCAGCCGAGGTGCCAAGGGCGAGCGAGGCAGCAAGGGCCACCCGAACACCCACACCCGGGGCAGAGTGGCCAGCCATGGGGCCCCGGGAACTTCTGGAAGCAGCGAGTGGGAGGATGAACAGTCTGAATATTCTGATATCCGGAGGTGAAACGAAAGGCCTGGCCGGGAAACCTTTCCTCCACGCCGTCCATTTTCTTCTCTATGGACATTCCAAAACATTTGCCATTAAAGAGGGGGGATGTCACACGCAGGATTTGGTGGGGATTGCGGACTTGACGAAGGTGTATGTTAGCAGAATGAACAGGTGAGACGGAGGCAGCAGTACGGCCTCGGCTGGCCCCGGTGGGCTCCACACTTGCACCTCCTGAGGGAACGTGCCACGTGTTCTCCTTGCGATTTTGTCTTCTTTGCATCCATGGAGCCACCGAGCGGCCTGCGGTTTCCTCTGCTGGGGGGGACGGTGGGCCGGGGAGGGGGCAGGGGCAGCAGGCCCACCTGGGCTGGACCACACACTTGACGCTGGGTTCGCCCCACAGCTTCTAGTGCTGTCTTGGTGGAGGGCGGCTGGGTTCCGGGGCAGGAGTAGACGTGAAAATCTCGCTGGGAATGAGGGGGAGCGTGGAGAGGAGGCAGGGGCCGTGGGGGTGCTTGGTGCCAAACGGAAGTTCAGCTTCTTGCATGGGACCTTGAGGTTCGGAGCTGCTTGCGGGGGGAGGGCCAGGGTTCTAGGCGTAACTTCTGAGCCGTTGTTCTGTGCAGGGACCCTGTCCAAGGGAGCGGCCCCTGTGTGTTTGTATTTTAACCACTGCTTCCAGTCTCGATTTCACTTTTTTATTTATCCAGTTACATCTACCTACTACATATCTGTCGTCTAAATAAATGGCTTTCAAACAAAGCAACTGGGTCATTAAAACCAGCTCAAAGGAAAAACAAACCAAAAAAAAAAAAAACCAGTCCATGTTTAGGGGCTGGTTTTTGTTGTTGTTGTTGTTTCTTTTTTAAGTGCTATTTTAAAAGGAATTCTAGAGCAATGTCGCTGTGCACCCAGTTGCCTGACGTGGGCTCTCGTAGCCACTTACGGAGAACCCCACACCTGGAGGAAGATGAACAGGAGGAGAACGTCTGACAGACTCTCCCCACCCCTCGGCATTTTGTCACCTCACCTCAACCCTCAGCCAAGACGGATAAAGCACGGTAGCCTGGATTCCGGGAGGCCAAGTTGGAAAGCTGACTTCTCCGCGCTGGAGGATGGAAAAGGGGACCAGAGAAGTAAGGCCACTCAGTGAGTCCCATCGGGAAACGCCAACCTTTCACACACACGGAGGAGACAGCCGAAAATCGCTGAGGGACAGGATTTCCCAGATCCAGATTGGAAATGTAGCCACGAGGAAAGGCGTCCGAGTGGACAGAAGAAAGGCAGGGAGGACAGACAGAGCTAAAAATACGAGGAGAGGCGGGAGAGGATCACAGCACAGTGTCAGCAGGTTTCTTGCAGTTCCTTAAAACATTCCAGAGACAGGCCTCTTCTTTTCTCCCCTCATATTTATCAGAGGTTATCCTTTCTTACATCCAGCACTGCAAGAGGGGCCCAGGAGTACACGGAGGGGACTCAGGTTCTGGGCCAGGCCCTCCTAGAGCAGGATGGGCAAGGTTTTTCTGTAAAGGTCCCAAGAGCACACACACCATTTGCAGTTTGGCGGGTCATGTGGCAACTACTCAACTCTACCGTTTAGCACGAAAGCAGACATCATAGATGCCACGTAACAGGCTTGGCTCCACACCAACGCAGCTTTGTTTAACAGACCCACCTGGATTTGGCTGTTGGGCCTGAGATGGCTAACTCCTAGTGAGCAGGCAAAAAAAGTATGCATCCTCCATTTATATCAGCTCATAACTCTCCCTCAGAGCAACCTGAGGCCAGAGATAAAGAAGCTAAATTTACCTACTCTAATATGACTTATTAGAGAAATGTCCTTACCCAAAACACAGCTAGTCATTATATACCCCAAATCCAGTCTCCTTGCTGCCAGGACATAGTGCCAGAGGGTCACTGCCCGCCCCCCAGTCTCACCTATGTTGGAAAGGAACCACTTGGGTGCTGGAGACAGGGGGACAAAATGCTGGGAGAGGCACCTACAAAGAGCTGGAGCAGCAGAAAGCAGGAGATGGTGCACTTAAGCCAGCTCTGCCCGCGGGGGGAGAAGGACCGGTGTGTCAGGCTCTGCCATGGAAACCGAGCGTAAACCGCGGCTGTCTCATGCCATGGGCCACTGCAGCGCGCCGACTGCTTTACTGACATCACTCAAAAGCTGAAGCAATAACATTCTCCCGCGTTGCTGGGTCAGCTGTTCATTTGTTCTCCGGCTCCCGGGCTGGATGTGTGCAAGGCATCACTTTTATATTTCCCTCAGTGTCAATGTTTTATGTGTTCACCTACTGATATCCCATTTGTTGCTTCTTTGTACATATTTGTCATTTGTATTTATTATCTCAGTGTTTTCCCCTTAAGGCATAAAATTGCTTACTGGGCTCATTTCAACCCCTTCACTGATCTCTGATGTCTATTTTTCATGCCACTGGTTTGCTTCTTCCCAAAGGTCAGGTAGATAGCATTTCATGCTGCTTTCTCATGTGTTGAGGCATACACTAGTACTTATTGCTAAGGTTCTTTTGCTCAAAACTGAGGAACATCTAAATTCCTGTGAGTGGTGGCAGAGGCATTTGTACAATCTAAAGTGTAAGCAAAGCCAGCATTAAAAATAGAATCTTAACTGGGGCTTCGTACTTCATACAAATTTACTGAGGAGCCTTCCTTTGAGGAAGGATGTGGAGTTCCAAATAAAGATATGATGTTTGTTTTGATCTTTGCATCTTAACAAGATGATCTGAACACACCTCTCCTTTGTATCAATAAATAGCCCTGTTCTTCTGAAAGGAGAGGACTGAATATAGTGAAACGCTGACACCCAAAATTAAATAAATACAGAACACCAGCCCAGAACAGTGGTCATACTTTGACACATACACACAGATAGAGAAAGAGAGAAATTTAAACTCGAACCGAGCAAAAGGCTTCACTACAACAACTTGGAAAAACAATGCTTCCCAGGCCCATTTCCTAAGGAAGAGCAACCTCGTCTGATCTCAGAATTGGCACCACGTGGGCTCGCTAAGTCATAATATCTGTTTCTGTTATGGATGTAGGCAGACAGGACCTGTACATTGTCACATGGCATCAATTTGCTCCAAGCATTAATAAAGGTTTTAAGTAAATGGCTTCCACTCGAGTAACGTTATTGTCTGAGAGGGCTTTGGAGAGCCCGTGCAAAGGAGGAGGGCTGTGAGCAAGTGGGCTTTGGGGTCCCTTTTAAAGGCTGGATGTTCAGTTTACAGGGAAGGGAACCAGGTTCAGGAGATCACGCCGGGCTCCTCCATCACAGGGACTCTGGCCAAAACCCAGACCAAGGGGAGACAAAATGCCATGCAGCCAGCCTAGAAGCTCCAGCCCCGTGGCCATTAGAGAGGCCCTTGCAGCTCCCTCTGGTCTCCGCGTTGCATCTGCCCCGGGGCCACGCCACATTCTTCCAGTCGGAGCCTGCCGCATAAGAGCGTAACCACTCAGAGGCCTGGCCCAGGCAGGGGTGCTCACCCCCTCCTGCCAGCTTTACTTAGACTGCTGCTGGCATTCCTACTGTGTGCCAGGCACCGTGCTAATCATGTGGCGTACATTATCTCATCCTGACTATGTGCCACAAGTAGCAGATATTATTATCCCATGTCACAGGTGAAGAAACCGAGGTATAGAAAGGTAAAGAGACGTGTCCCAAATTGTGTGCCTAGTGAGTGGGGCGTCTGAACTCAAACCCAGCTCGGCGACACTAAGCCCACATGCTTTACCCCCCTTTCAGGCCCAGATTCTCCACATTCGATTTATTTTTAATTTAAATTGATCAGTATTATTCCTATTTTACACGAGGCTTTAAGAAAGAATAATTATACTCTTATGTTTATAGTACCCGGCCTCTGGGTAGATCTGCTTTAGAACAGAAAGGAAAACTGATTCTCTCACCCGTCCTCTCTGCAAAGACTCCAATTTTGGTTCAGATAAGGGAAAGCAGGAGAATCGTGGAGTCTCACCGCTTTTCCATGCATGTGGGTAATTTTTTAAAAGGCTCTTCTCAGCTGCAACGGATGAAGCATTTTGGGAGCGGCTGCGTTTTGTAACCATGCAGTGAGAACTTTCTGCACTAAACCCGCCGGGTCACCAGTCCTGTCTGAGAAGCCAGGCTCCCCTGAAATCTTCACCATCATTAGCATTCATCCCCATCACGATAGTTGCAGTTTCTTCTGGAACTGTTAATATACCCCATGTGCTGCCTGGTGCTTTGCAGGTATTATTTCTAAGCCCCATTTTACACATGTAGACACTGAGGCTCAAAAGCATCTGAATATGCCTAGAGCCGGTCACAAGGCTAGCGAGCTCTCGGGGTGGCACACCAACCCACCCCAGGGCTCACTCTGCCCCATCTTACTCAGCATCTCTCACCCCAGGTGTCCAAACGGGAGTTAAATACACCGAGTTCAGAAAGGCAGCTGCCTCCCCCAACCCTCAGGGACGGCTCCAATCCATCCGCTGGGGAATGGTTAGGCTGTGGGAGGAAGAGAGCAGAAGGACTTCCAAATACGCTGGGATTTTAGCAAAGTTTCCAAAGGAAGCTGGAGCTGCGCGCCCCAAAATCTGGAGACAGAAATCTGAATTTGTTCTAAAGTCAACAGAAAAGAAAGCCCCCCGCTGAGGAGGGGAGAAACCTTGGCCAGAGAACAGGTTTCATGCGAAATTAGTTTTTGTGGGTGGAGAAGAAAAGAAAAGAGCAATAGAAGCCTTGGGCTACGAGTCCGACGTTGCTGCTTGCATAAGCAGTTCAGTTTTTTATCACTCCCCCAAAAAGAACACACATGCAAAAGTCACTCCCTAAACAGAATGGGGGTGAGGGGAGCCACAGAGGCAGCCTAAGCTTGTGCATGAAATGGGCCCCACCAGGATGAACCCTGCCCTTCCACAGAGCCCAGCATGGCGGTACCTGAGCGTGTGTGCCCGCCTAGCCACCACGTAACACTGGGTCTGCCCAGATGAGCTCAAACTCGGGAGAGACAAGGAGGCTCCTCTGAGGAATTCTCAGAGGCAGGGCAACTGTTCACAAGCTACACAGAAGAATCGACGTTTCCATTTTCCATCAGACAGTTTCTGGGGTGTTTGACAGTTCTTAATGTAAGGGGGAGGGCCCATGTAAAAAGAACTGAAACCCTAAGGAGGATGAGACCACCAGCTGCTCGCTCTCCTGAGTCAGGAATAATATTCAGGAAAGGACTGAGGGCGCCTGAGAGGGCTTCGTGCCAGGAGAATGACCAGGCCCTAGAATTCTGTCTCGGCCGTTTATTGCTATGTTAACAAACTACCCTCAAAACTTAGTAGATTGAAACAACCATTTTACTGTGCTCACAGTTTTGTGGGTCAGAAATTTAGAAAAGGCTTAGCTGGGTGGTTGGTCTCTTTTCCACATGGCATTACTGGGGCAACCGGGGCTGCAGGGTCCCCTTCCCAGATGGCCTTTTCAGGAGGGCACCTCCGTCCCCCCAGTCTCGCTCTGTCTCCCCCTCTCTTCCTCTCCACATGGCCCCTTATCCCCTAGTGCTTCTCAGAGCACAACCATCTCAGGGTAATTAATTTCCCTCTTCAATGGTTGGGGACTGGACCCCCCAAGAGAGGTGGGAGGGTTTTTACAGCACATTCCTCAAATCTAAATGAGGGTTTTGATTTCATCCTTGGTACTGTAACCCCAGGATTTGAACACCATGATGGCAGTGACCACGTCACTTTTGCAGTTTCACATCTCCCCAGCAGCCCCAGCATTGCACAACGTGATTGAATGAATGAATGAACGAGCGAGTGA